TATATATATATAAATATATAATATATATATTTATATATATGTATAAAATAGTGTACTCCATCTCCTGCTCGGCCATCATCGTCCACTAGAATATAAATATAAATAAATACAGACACCGATGTCCGAGTTCCCAACTTACGTGTCGTGTGGGATCTCACTAGTCTGCATGTCCACCACATTCCCTGTGCTCTTCATGTACACATGGTGCAGGCATCTCAGGAACGGCTTCTTCAGCACGTTGTCGATGGCCGGGTTGTTGAGGATTAGCAGCAGCTCGTCCATCGGGAGGATGGTCTGACATAGAGACTCTATGAACAGATTCTCACCCTGGTTAGGAGCGAGAGTTAAGAACCCTTGTTGAGAATGTTAGTTCAGCAGTTATATTATTTGTTCTCGTACTATACTGAGATTGTCGAGGAGGGAGATGGTGGTGGTGGTGGTGGTGATGATGATGATGATGATGATGATGATGATGATGATGATGATGATGATGATGATGATGGTGATGATGGTGATGGTGATAGTGATGGTGATGATTGATTCTATGAACAGGTTCTCTCCCTGGTTAAGAGCAAGAGTTCAGAACACTTGTTGAGAATGTTAGCCGAGCAGTAATATTTGTTCTCGTACTATACTGAGATTGTCAAGCAGGGAGAAGGTGGTGGTGGTAGTGGTGATGATGATGATGATGATGATGATGATGATGATGATGATGATGATGATGATGATGATGATGATTTTTTTTGGGTTTCCTTAAAGGGCCTGGTGGACTCCACGAAGAAATCTTCGAGCGAGAGCGAGGCTCTTTTTCGGTTCCATTGTCATTATACTTAGAGGCACCTCCACTCGTCCAAATAACTCGAATTGCCATGATGATGATGATGATGATGGAGATGATAATGAGGATGAGGATGATGATGATGGCGATGATGGTAATGATGGTATTGATACTAATAATAATGACAACTGCATTCCTAGAGCGTACATCCATGTCCAGCTCATTAAAAAGAACAAATAGAAAGCAACAAAAGCAGTTTCTAGGACACTTGGCTCGACATAAAGATTTTGAACATCTCTCTAACAGGAATAAGCTGTAGGCAAACAAGTCAGGGTTAGACTCAGAGAAATCTATATATGGAAAACCTGAACAGATGGGTGACAAAGAAACACGCGGATGATCGTATATGGTTTTTGGGAACATCTGAGCGGAAAAATGAATGGAGGACCATGATAGTTGATGCCTATTTCAGGTCTGGCACTTAATAATGATGACCAGTGCTCTATGCTCTTAGTGTTACGACTATTATTACCTCAGCAGACCCAAGAACACACAGAAATATTCTCGACTTCTCGTGCGGTATATAGTGTAAGCAGCTGGTTTTAAGCGCCAAAACGTTAACAAACTGAAGGATCTTTCGCCGTCAAAAGCCAGATAAACATTCACACATGGGTGAAGTGAGGAACATTCGTGTAAGAGGCCTTTCCAAAATAAATCAAATGGTACTCGCCACAATGAACCGAGACTGCGAAACAGTGCACTGTCTAGGGTATTATAGTTCACGCCTATATCTCTAAATTGCTTCTCGTCCAATGAAGAAAACTTACTACTACTACTACTACTACTACTACTACTACTACTACTACTACTACTACTAGTACTACTACTACTACTAAAACTACTAAATAGCATTTGTACAGCGCTTATCCCCAATCGACAGCTAGCTCTATGCACTTTACACTAGATTATTACCCCAGCAAACCATATTACACTCAGAAAAATTCTCAGCTTCCCGGAAAGCATACAGTGCGAGCAGCGGATGAAGCGCTCAAACACGAACAAACTGTCAAAATCGACAAGTGAAAATCGACTAGTGAAATAAAGTGAAACCCACCTCAGCACAGGCAGCAAGCAAATCCAAAAGACTGATAAAGTAACGAAGCCTTGGCATATTGTCGTTCTCCGTTAGAATCGATTCCCTGAGGAGCACAGTATTTAAATGATATATTATAGTACATTGTGAGTACAATTTAACATTAAAAAGTGCAAGCGCTGAGAATTTGTTTCTTATACTATATTTAGTTTTACTAGAGCGTCCGCAGCTGCATAAAGTCATATGAGCGCCAATCTCATACTTATATGTACACACACGGACACGCATATATACACACAGACAAGTATACCCACCAACATGCATTAATGCACACACACACACACACACACACACACACACACACACACACACACACACACACACACACACACACACACACACAGAGGCACGCACACACAGACAAACGAACACATGCAAAACCTCTGTCTGATCCCCTATCTTTTGCCTTGGAAGTCTCCTCAAGTTTTATTTTGACTTTACTATTTTTTTCAGATTGGTGGACGTAAGAACTTTGCTTTTTTTTCTTTATAAGAGCCAAATAATCGACATGTTATTAACTTATAAAACTTGGTACAGGGTTTTTGCATATATTATTATAATTATTAAAC